AAAAAATGATTTATTCTTTTTGAAAACGAGGTGGAGGAAAGGGAAAATAACTTTATGTGGTGTTAAGATACACAAATGGATCATGGATTTCCCTCTCTCCCTGACGTTATCTTGACCCACGAGCCTTACATCATATATTGTCTTCTCTGTCCAGCTGAGGCGGGGAGGGATAGAATGCCTTTGGTGGACGCCTGGAGTCCAGACAGGGTCAACTCACCTCGGTACCACACCATTACTCTTGCAACTCTTAACACTTGGCCCTGAATAATTTAGGACTGTCAGCAACCTTTTTCACCTCATTCTTCATATTTTTCCAAATCCTTCACTAATTTCTTCAACAGCAGGGTCCTGCACAGCTTCGTTTGGTCATGCAAACACCTGATCTATCTTTTTTGTCCTTTTAAATCTTTTTTTACTTGTTTAAGAGCCTTTTATGTCTGCCTGGTGTCCCTGAACACCTCCAGTAAGGGACATTGTTGACAAAACTTCTAGAAATCCACATAAACATCAAACAGCTACTGCCACATATGAAGTCTATTAGTAGAATTTAATAGGTGTGCAGGATTCAAAAGATGCATATTCCAGAGGATGCTAAGCTCATGCTACTACACATATGGGTTAAGAAATCATATCACACTGTGCCCCAAGAACACTTACTGTTTATTAGCTAGTTGTAATTTTATCTATTTTGAGGAAGACAAAATGCCTATTTCAACAAAGTAATTCCTAGTGCAGGTCCTGATCCTGAACAGACACTAACAAGAAAGTCTTTGTTTACTTTCTAGAGCATTCTTAAGCTAGACCATTCGTAAAATACAATAATTATATAAAATCCATTTGCAAAAGAGTTTACTAGAGCTTACCTTAGATGAAATCAATCCCTGCTCTGATTATGCCCAGTGGGATTGGCAGAGTAATGTGGTTCCAAGGGTAAAAGATGAGGTTCCTGGTCCCAGGAATTGAAAGCAGGAATGAAAAAGGGAAAACTCAAGGTTTCCAACATACTTATGAGTTCTTCACTTTTGCAGTAAAGTGATGACTCACATCTACCAGGACAAGTCCTCATCACACCACCCTGGTCTGTCCATATGAACTTTGGGCTACCTGGCTCCTCATCACTGCCAGCTGGGAAGGAAGGAAGCACTGGCCTCATGGCATCCCACCAGGACATCCACATGGCTGTCAAGTTCCTTCATTTCACTACAAGTCTGTGATTACATTATGAGGACAAGATAAAACACACTGTGTAGTTCTGAGCATCTACCCTGCTCCCTTGTGGACTGCTAAAAAATGAAATAGATATGTTTCAGGAACATGGAAAAGCCATGGTTCCGCAATCTCTATTCCTATGACAGTCTAGAATGATAATTTTGATCAACAAATTTTGTTTCAATTCTCATACTTACAAATCCCGTTGGTTCCAGAAATGCAGAAAGTACAAAACAGCAATCAGGAAACTTAACTGCAATAAACATCCAATAAATACAATACAAGCACCCCTTTCTAGTGTATTAGACTTACAGTAACAGAAAAAAAGATGCAGCATTATCTGAGGCTAGATTCAGAATACTGAAGCCAAAAAAAACCCCATTTCTCCCCTTTTCCAATTTTATCCAGTTCTGTGTTGACTATTACTGTGAACTCTTGACTACAGCCATTCTATCTTATCCAGATGATCCACATGTATTCTGCTCTTTCACAGAAGGAAGATCTTCATGAGAAAAGACAACACTCAGTGTTGAGTACAAAATTAGGGGAACTCTTCTGATCTCTTTCAACGTTCTTCCACCATCCAAAGAAACAGATAGGATAACTAACATATATGTATCCTTTTGGGGTTTTGGGTTGATTTGTTTTTTGATTTTGTTTGGGTTTTTTAATGTATTATTCTCCTTCTGTAATGCAAGAGTGAAATATATTCTCTGGGCTTCTTTTTCTGTTTTATTGTAAAGAGAAATTGCCCATGGCTCAAACTGGGGTGCAGATAAGTTTGGATAAGGATTTCAACCTCAGAGAAGTGAATTAGAAATTAAAATGAATTAGAGGTAAGTTAACATATGTTTTTCTCATGCTTTGGTTTAAAATGGTGACAAAATTTCTTCTGATCTCTTCAGAGGTGTAACTTTGCCATTCACGTCTGGTTTCAGCACACTGTAACTGGATTATGAAATCACTCCTGGCTGATGCAGATTTTTAAAGGGAACCTATTCCAGATTGATGGGGCTTGATTGACTTTTTGAAGGCTCGTGAATATGGATTAGCCCTAAGCACTCTGGAATCTTTGGAGTTAGGTGGATTTTTTGTCCACCACATTAAGCAAATAGTGAAGAGTGTTCATATGAGAAGGTAGGTACTGAACAGAGATTTGATGGCAACTTCACAGGAAAAGAACAGAATCTAAAGAGGAAGGAACAGGACAGAAGACCATATAGAGAGTAAATGCTAACTGGGGAGGAATTTTAGAAGAAGACATTATGAGATGAACAGAAGGTCTACAATCCTCTTGTTACCAGAAAAACTTGGAGTTATGCCCAGGAATTCTGAATCGTTCCCACTTTTTCATAAAAAAAAAAAAAGACCTATAGAAGAAGACAATATGTGATCAGGAAATTTAAACTGTATCAGAACATACATATGCACATTTATAAGTACACAATATATATTTATGGATTTTGTTTACATTTCAGCTGTACTGAGAGGAAATGAGGAAAGAAAAGGAAAACATCAGAAATTAATGACTTACACAAGTTTCTGTTCTGTGAGATTAGTACAAGAGGAGGGGACATCTGATGAGAATATCGTGAAGAAATATCTCTTCAACACAGTCCTAGACTGCAGAAATTTTTTCTACATGGCATTACTGAGGCCAAGGTTTTAACACATCCCAAAGGAAACAGTATGTTTCACTCAATTTTGAAAGTATACTCAAACACTACCAGAATGCACAAGAAATAAGTATTCCTCAAGAAACCCCTCCAGATTTTCAGTCATTTTTTGTAACCTATGTCATATGTACTTCTTGTAGTTTTTTCACCTTTCTTTCCTTCTTCTCCTTGATGCTGGCCACTAAATGGGAAATAATTTACTTTCTTATAAATAATTAAACAAGTTCATTTTCTAAATGGCCAGTTGGAACAACTGGAAAATTGTACTGCAATTGGTGCAGTGAGTCAAATCTCAAAACTCCCCTTTCAGAGGTACTGCTCTTCTTTACTTTTTTTAATTGATATTTTGACTTATAAAAAATTATGAAAAATCTTAATGAGAAAATATTAAAAAACAAAATAACTTTGATTCTCATTACAAATTTTACCTTATTTTTAATCTATGAAAGACATAAAAAATTAATTTTTTTTTCTGCAATGTCACTGCATGTTTCTCATAATTAGATATGGCATATCACATCAACTCTGATAATAATTGTTACTCTAAATGGTAATTAGCTTTGAAATTCATATTTTAGTAGATAAATTGGTGATCCTGCCATTTGTAATTGCTTTTAGTATTCAATGGTTCCTTATGCTGAGCATAATGAAACACATACCACAAGAAAATAACATTTTTATGTAATAAGAATGAAACCTTTTGACTTGTCACAACTAATTTATTTCAAATAAATTTTTAGCAAAATTATCTGTTAGTGCTGATGAAACAACAATTTCTATTTACAAAATTTCTCTATCGTCCAGTTCAGTTTCAGTCATCAAATCCTGAAATATTTTCTGCTATTGCAAAAACAGTATTAAAGATAAGTTTTGATTGGGAGCTTTTAATTAATTATAGGATTAATAAAAGTCCACATTCTCAATAAAATTGCATAACATATACATGTAAGTCTAGTATAATTTTGTTGATTTTCTTTCCAACACTTTTTCTTCTCTAAGCAATTTATTTGCTTTATGTGAACTGACAGTTACCAGAATACAAACTGCAGTATCTCAGTTAAAAAAACTAGTAGGACTATATGCATTTATTTGTGAAGATTTTATTGTAACTGTTGCTGCAATCCTCAGCTTAAACCATTTTTGTGCCAATGAGGCACATCATGTCAAAGGACAGATAAGCAAATAACCCTTTTTCATAAATCTTCCAACTGTAACTTTGAATATTGACTATTAATAGAGAAATTGGGGGAGAAAAAATGAAACCTGAAAAACGTCAGATATGAAATTATCACAGCAAAAGGGATAATCATGGTAGATACCATGCTCACTAATTTAAATGAACTAATTTTTGTGTCAGAGCACCTAACAAAGGAATAGATATATGATGGAGAAAATGTGTCAGTTATGTATTGCACAGAGTAGTAATACAGACGTATTTTATGAGAATAAATGTTAGTGGTTAATGATATGGGAATTTGGGAAAGGAAAACCCCGAAATTAGTACCAATTTTCGCTGTCTCAACTACTCTTATTTTCCCAAAAGAGACAATGTCAAAAGTTCAAGCTTTCTGTTGTTTCTCTGCCTTTTGTCAGATCTTGTTTTACGTGGCTTTGAAATTAAAATAAAAATTATGAAGTTATATTATCAAGGGGTTTATTGATGTAATAGCATGTACTACAAACTATAAGAAGAAGGCTGAACTTAGCAGACCACAACTTATTAATTATAGCGTTAGTTAATTCATGTCTGTCAGATTAGACTGCACACTTTTTTTTCTTGCTTCAATGGTGTCATTGTGGCCTATAAAAAAATATTATTCTTCCCACTTCAGTAAGGCACAATCCACTTTTAAGGATATTGAAAGGACATTTGATGTCATATGCTAGCAATTAATTCTCTTATGTCCCACCACCCTAAATAAACAGAACAGAAATTCTTTCACGCCAGCATTCAATAATACAAACCCTTAGATGTGTATATTATTGCATCAGAGATTCATTCATTTATTACCTACCGGGAACACATTCATTCTGTATTGTCCACTAGAATTAACATAAGTAGAGCTTCTTCTGATATGTATGAAAGCCAGGCTATCTACCTCTCCATTGCCTTCTTTCTTCTAGTCCTTTATCCTTGTTAATTCACTTGTTGTACCAATGTCTTGCTGCAGTTCCAAGGTCGTGTCTCAAAGTTGCCAATAACCTGCATTGACGAGAAGACTTGTAAAACTATCTGAAATGTCCCAGGCTTGTCCAGCAAATGCTATCTTCCATTTCCTATTGTTATGTGGTCACCTTTCTATTTCTTCACCATGGGACCACAGACTTCGGTTACAGCAGTGTCCTGGCTCCTCCCTCCTGCTTTTCTATAATATATCCAAAATATTGCCATTCAAGATAAGCCATTACCCATTGCAGCATAGGCCACAAGCACAATGGGGACAGATCAGGGTTCTATTTAACAGGAACAACCACTGACTTACAGGTAAGATTCTAGGTGTCTTGTTTACATAACTGAATTCTGCTTTTATAGTTTAGAGTTAGTATTTCCATAACTGTATTCAGTTTTTTTTCTAGTTAATAAAAAATATGGAGTCTGATTTTGTAGCTAACGCCTAATCATTACATGTCTACATACAGCTACTATGAGGTATAATGCTGTGTAATACTTTGTGAAAACTTGGGAGACACGCAAAAAGTTAAATGGAGGACCAAGACTGTTGTAGCTGGTGTGTTTGACAGATACAGCTAACATAATCTCCATGTATTCTCAGAACCAAACAATGAGAGCTCACAACCCAAACGAGAGCAGAATGGAACCTGGTGGTGCTCTTTATGTTCCTCATAACTCAGTGTAACTTTCAACTTCATCACAAAGCACAACCTTGCTCTGTTCTGTCCTCAGCTGCAGGTTGTATGGGATTTAATGGTTGGGAGTCAGTTGAGCTTGATGCTCAAACACAAAACCTATTTTTGGTTGATTGTTTTTTCATCATATCAGTGAGTTGAAGTAATTGATTGCATGATTGGCCTTTTGAAACTTAAAGAAGGTTTACTAGAAAGATGGGGACAAACCTTTTAGCAGGGTCTGTTGTTATAAGATAAGGGATAATGGGTTGAAACTAAAAGAGAGTAGTTTTAGACTAGATATAAGATAGATTATAAGACATAAGATATAAGATATAAAATATAAGATAAAAGATATAAGATATAAGATATATAAGATACAAGATATATAAGATATAAGATATAAGATATAAGATATAAGATAGATATAAGATATAAGATATAAAATATAAAATATAAGATATAGATATAAGAAGAAATTTTTTTACAGTGAGGGTGGTGAAACAGGTTGTCCAAAGTAGTGGAGGCCCCATCCCTGGAAGCATTCAAAATCAAGTTGGATGGGGATCTGAGCAACCAGATTGGATGATGTCCCTGTTCATTAAATGGGGTTTGGACTAGATGACCTTCCTACCCAATCCATTCCATGACTGCTAAATATTGTGCCAGAAGAGTGGCTAATACATGAATATAGGGGAGAGGGATTTGAAGAGGCTAGAAGAAGCCTGACTTTGAAGTGCAGCAGATTTAGTACAACACAAATCTACCCTCTGAGTGGTGTTCACCAGTTGCTAACCTGTGCAGTGCAGAGCCAAAGCCCTATAGTACTCTCTATCTGGCTTGTTCCTTTACACCTCCTATATTGCCCATGATATCTCTGGACAACCATCTTTTCCTTCCATTTCAGTTATTCCCATTTTCTCAAGAAGAATGCAGCCACCAGCTCTGATCATCCACTGGCATTCAAAATCTGCATTCACAGGCAACTGATGGTATGTCATGTTACATTAGTCACCCATAAGCTCACTCATGAGTCATTGCTGTAGAGCCTGGTGTGTTTGCTGTTAAGCAATTTTCCTTTTGCGCTAGGAAAGACATCCCAGTGATAAGAAGCAAAATTAATCCTTTGCATAGTTCTGTCAATTACCTGAAAAAAGTTTTACTTTTTTTGCAGTCATTACATTTTTTTCCTCTTTGTAGCCGTTTTACTGTCTTGCACTGTTTTTTTTACTTGATATTTAACTCCCAAGTGGGATATATCTTCATTCTATGCTAAAAGGTGCAGTCTTAAAAAAAGAAGGAGGAAGCATGAACAGCTAAGACAAAAAGAGATTTCTTATACCAGGCTGTATAAGGCATTTTCCATTTTTTATTTTATGCCTTTGCTATTTAACTTATCAACTAGTTAACCTTAATGAAAAGGGGATACTTTGCCAAAGAAGCACATCCTTACTACTGCAAATAACAAAAGCAGTTAGCTACAGTGCTTTATTATCTACTAAATACACTACACAAGCAATAGGGTCCACATTTTTAGAGGCACTTAAGCATCTAGACATGCAAAATTGTCATTCAGCAGGACAATTTACAAGTGCTGAGGCAGTTAACTTTCTCTGATTTAAGTGGCAGATAAGCATTTTTCTATCTGAATCTTATATTTCCAGTTTAGCAGTCAAATGAAAAATTTAACAGGAAAACAGATTCAAATCAAACTGAATTTTAGGACAAAAAAATAAAAATTTTATAAATATTTTTAAAGCACCGTTGTACTTTTGGAGCCTGGCTGGAAGGGAGGAAAAGACAACCAGAGACACCTCTTTCTACACAAAACCCCATTGGTCTGAGTATTATTCAAAGTGTGAAAGGTTTAACCATAATTCCCACATCTGGCTGAGGTGTTTTGTGTACACACCTCCACAGCTGCCCAAATTGCTTATCACTCTAAACCGTTCCATACTAGTTTCCCTCAATCTCTTCTTTTGGATCATTTATAATTTATATGTTAAATTATCAGCCACAACGATTAAGATAATTCACTAGCTCAGACATCAAAGCTCTCAGCTAGTGAGAGAAATGCCTGGATTCTCACCTCTCCTTGATGATAATTTCTGCAAAGAGCTGCATTAACCAGGAGCTAAAATTTGTCACCCTCCTCATTATTCAAATACTAGCCTGTTCCTCCAGATCCATATTTTGGGATCCTGGGGATATAGATTTCTACAAACAAAGGTAGAACAGATTTGAGGTTTTACAGAGCCCCAGCCAGTATTTTAATCATGAAATGTCTGTCAAAATCGACTGTTAGTACCTCATCTACTGCATTTTTGAAATCTAGCTCTCCATTAAAAAAAAAAAAAATTAATCCAATTAAGAAGAGTACCAAAGCAACCCTAAGCAGTGGGTCTGGCTGATAGAAACAATTTCTCTCTGGAGATAATGTAAAGGTCTTATTTCTCTGTCTCTAAACATAGAAGGATCACAATGCTGACACATCTTAAATGTCACTGCAAAGCAAAAATCAAGTTGGTACAAAATTTGAAAGCACGGCATTTCATTTCAGCTACGTTGCCTGTGGCTCAGCATGTCTCCTACATCAGGACTGAGGAGCAAAGCAAATCCAGAGGAGACCTGCCACCTTGCAAAATCTGTCCTTCGATTGTTTGGCTTCAAGATCTAGTTTTTGGTTTTAAAAATCATTAGAAGAATTTACTTCTTAACTAATTCCTACTAGATAACTATTGATTTTTCCCTAATTCACATAAAGAATTAAGACAAAAGAAAGACCATTTTTACCTGGGAATCATTTTGAGAATGCCCTTTCTTGAACTTTGTGAATTATCTGAATAATCTGTATCTCACTGGCTTCTCATGGGCCCTAGTGACTGTGCCGGAGTACGGAGCAATCAAATGATCCTTATACATGATCTTTGTGCCATTCATGACATTGTAGAGCTCAGCGGAGCTTCCAGAATCATGTCTGTCTCATGATAAAGAGTGTCAAGTATCTCAGTCATTGCTTGTAATACTATGAAACCTTTTGTCATCTTTGCTTACCTTCTCTGAACCTTTTCCAGTTCTAATGTATAATTTTTCGATGTGAAGGAACCAGAGCAGCTAGACAGTGTTCCATGTGGGGCAAATCATGGGTTTATGTAAGTACCTTCTGTTTTGTTCTCTATTTCTTTCTCTGTGAGTCTTTTTTTGTTTATTTTTACTGGTGTTGAATGGCTGTATTCAAGGAATTATTTATCCAGCCCCAAGGTCTCATTGTCCAGTGGCTAGGTGAGTTCAGAGTATCATTTTGTATATTAAGCTAAAATTGTTATATGCATACATTGTTTTACATGTACCTACATTTACTCTCATCTTCCATTTTCTTACCCAGTCATTGAATATTGTAAGGACATTCTGCAATTTGCTGCAATAGATTTCATCCTTTCTACCTTGAAGAACTCTATCATCAGCAAATTGTCAAAACATGTACCCTTTTTCATGTCTCTGTTAAGCAGCAGGTCTGAGAACAGCATCCTGTATGACTTCACTGCTGACCTTACTCCATGGAGAGGGGTGATCTCTTACTTACCTTTGTTTAGCCTTCCAGAGCTTACAATACTTTCTATTTTCTTCATTTCAATGCAACCTTCACGTTTTTTTATTAATACATGATTAATTCTAAATAGATGGCTTTTAACTTGGCTGCTTAGTCATTCTTGTTTTTTCTCAATTTCATCACAATACGCAATGTGCATGGGCACTGCACTTTCCATATTGTCTCTCAATAGTCTCTGTGTCACCTGCTAAATTTTAATTGCCATAAATTTTAATTATTTTTTTAGCTTCTTTTCAAAAAAACTTCCTCATTTTTATTTAGATCCTTTTATTAAAATTTAACACCACTGTGGTGACTTTTTGTTTTGTTTTGTTTTGACCTGTGTTTTTTGCTGGGGGAATGTTAACTGTCCTGAAATATATTTTCAGCATTTTTTCCAAAAATATTTGGATTGTTATGAGAAAAAAAGAAGTTTTAATGATCCAGTTTCAAGACCTCAGGGAGAAGTGGCATTGATAGACCTCAGAAGTCTACCTAGGGAAGGGGAGAAATGAAAGAGGGTTAAAAAGTGCACAATTACACGCAGCAGGCAAAGGCAAGAGCAGATGGATACCTGCAACGCCCTGTGGACCAGAGGATGACTGAAACAGGTACCTGTCATGGTTTGAAAAGGCCCAAAATCTAATTCTGATTCCTAGCCCCCCCCACCCACATCTCAACCCCATGTGAGATGGGTTTTCCAGACAAAAACACGAGACTCAATATGGGGGAAGGAATATATTACAAAGACTATACAGCAAATAAAT